CCCCCACCCTCTCTCTCATTTGTTGCACTGACTCGTCCTGCTCTGACTCTGATGGGGGAGGGGCTAGTAGTGCCTCTCAGGTAGCGGTTCGTGTTGACAAACTCAATAACAACAAGTCTGTATTTTGTTGTCCCGTACATGTCAACCTCTTCGGATGTTTACCTGTATAAATGGCCTCAAAAATCCATAAATTTTGCAAAAAATCTGTACAACTTGCACCCGGGGGCGGAGTGGGGGGGATGGAAAATAAATTTAAGTTTACTGTAGTACCTTACACTGTCAAACTTGTTTTTAGGGGGTTCAAATTGGGGTAGGTGGGACATAGTTCTGGGGACGGGGGTGCGCTTCAACTCGTCTAGGGCACCAAAATGGCTAGAGCCAGCACTGGCTAAAATGCTCAGCAAAATATTAGCTCTGCTATTAGCGGGTTAGCTAGAGATGGGCTAAATRGCTCTTTAAAGGGATCTGGATCTTGACGAGCTTTTTGTTTCATAGAGCCGTTCAAATAAGATGTATAAACATCTCTTTACCACCCGACACTCAGTTCCTATTATTTGTTGTAAGGAGCCATTCAAAAGATTAGGATCGTTCCTGAACTCTAGGGTTAGCAGATGATCAGAACTGTGCTCACCACTGGTTGCCTCATAGTAATTTCTAACCTATTAAGTTCCAAAAATAAATTCAAACAACCTAAAAGCTGATGCAAAACGAACATTTCTTCCTTTACGGATTTCAGTGTTTCACCCAACTCTTCGTTTTGTCTGATGTTGCAACTCCAACAGGAATCACACAAAGGTTGCACATTGAGCTGGAGACGAAGGAAGAAAGGAGAAGAAAGAGTTAGCTGACTGTGCTGCGAGTGCAGGGTGTAGACAAGCAGAGCGCTTCTGACAGGCTGTGTCTGCACAGTTTGTTCTCCAGTAGGCCCACACAGAGTCACCAGTGGGGTGCACACACGCACACACTCCAGCGCACGCACTGCCGAGCTCGCACACTCGGCAGACACTGTCAGTCACGTCGCACGCAGTGTGTGTTGCGGGCGTTCCGCTCACAGGCGCTCTTACAGTACAGGCACGTGCACAAAGACAGCAGAGAGGCGAGGCGAACCGAGGGAAAGAACCCGTTTTTGAATGCGTTCCTCCCAAGGCTTCGGWACTGAGGAAATGGAGCTATCATGACAGGGGATGAAAGAGCAACAACGGTTTCATCACTTTCCCTCATCCTTCGCGGCACCGTGGAAAAAGAAGCTGCGATGGTTCTCATCCGCCCATTAGGGAAAACACGCTGTGCTTTTTTACCAAGAGGAGGCTCCAGAGTGAGTCAGAGACAGTAAGATAAGAGCATCGTCTCCAAACAGCCACCGGGTTGAAACACCAGCTGCAGATATCGATGGTTTTGATGGACTGAGGACAGTAGTAGTGTGTATTGATCTAAAAAAATGTCCCTGTGTTCTGTTTATCGACGCTGTCCCTCTTCATTCATTCTCCTCTGGCTGTTGCCGTCGCCAAAACCCAATTTCTCCCTTCCAGTTTTATAGTTCATAAGTTTTTGACATTTCAACCCACTTTTTCTTTCTTACTGTCTTCCTGGTTTTAGTTTGTTTTCCTCACAGTCTCACTTGGAAAATCACTTCACTTCTGTAGTTTTCTTTTCCTGTTTCTTGTTCCGTCAATGCAACGCAGGTCATCAAYAATCAATTTGCTAAAGATTCAGTTTTTCTAAGCCAACAGTGTGACGACCAACCATTGACTAGTCTCCTATTTATTTTTATCTGCTTATTCAAAGTCAGTACAAAAAGAAAAGCCCAGACATCCCTCTCCTCAGCAACACTCTTTTATGACGCCCATCATATGATGACATAATATGGTATGGCTCCATCTGTCTGTGGACAATATCTAGTCCAAACTCTAAGTTGATAACAAAGAAATGTCAAACTGCACAGTTGGACACCTCATGAGTATGACCTCTATTGATTTCAAGATCATGGGGGTCAAAGGTCAATGCCACAGGTGACCTTGTTTGTTAAAACCTTGTTTTCACTCCAGCTTGACATAGCGGTAATAAAGAAAAGTCAAACCCTTTGCTCCCTAGATTGAGCTTATCTGACCATCTCTATCAGTGGTTCCCCTCACCCCCCAAATCCCCTGCTGCTCCTCACCTCTCCCTTATGACACGTTCAGCCTTTATCGCTTTATCACAATAATAAAAGAATAAAGTGAATAGTTACAGACTTTCATTTGGAAAAGGGGTAAAAGTGAAGAACTGAGTTTTACAGATAAAAAAATATAGGTCCTCTGGACGGGTTCTTCTCTAATGAAATGTTTCGTCTCTCCTCCAAGAGACTTCTTCAGTCTGAGTTTCGAGTGAACTCAGCCTTATAAGCACTGCCTCCACATGGTGGACAAACAGGTTAGTCACATGCAAAAGAGGGCCATCGACAAACAATAGGCTTGATTAATTCTATTGTTCATAGAGGGTCATGTGCCCCATCACCTGACCCCGTGTCGTGTTGTGTGAATGTAGTGAATGCAAGCGGGGGTTCAACGTTCCCTTGTTTTTGTTTTTTCCCTCTTTGTGTTGGCATCTTTGGGGCCCTGATTCACACCGTTTGCTCACAGGGGGCTGAGTCATACTTGCAATGACAGCWTTGTAGGAGGAGGACAACTAGAAACGCAGACCTCCACCTCTGTTTAATGGTGGACGGTTTTTCTTCACAAAGATGGCTTCYTTTACTGGTCTCTTAAACCATCGTTCCTCTCTATCAAGAATGAGAACATCTTCATTCCTGAAAGAGTTTTACAGAGTTTTAATTGTTYAAATGGATTTCTGGTGATTTTTGTATGATTTATCAATTTTCCTTTGGGATCAATAAAGTATTTCAATTCATATTTTCACAACCAGACATGCTTACGTGCCCCTCATTGGGAACCACTGATTTATAAGATGGTACAATGAGTTRTCTATGGTGTAACTCTACAAATGTTCAGAAATCAAAATGTCATCTATGGCTCCACATTGGATACTATTTTTTATTAAGACCACTTCTACATGATTGTTCATAATTTATCAATAGTTTTGTTCTTTACAGGCCAAAATGAATGATCTTGCAGACCTGATATGGCCCAAGAGCCAATAGTTGAATATTACTGCCTCATAATAATTTATTTTAAACGTTTTATGTAATATAAACCAGAGATTCTTAACCTGTGGGCCGCGAGCGCCACTTTGAGGGCCTCAAAAGAACAATAGTTTTTAACTTTGGGCCACAGAGGGCCGTGAGACCACATTGATTTTGAATAAGGTGCAATAAACTTTCTCTCCACTAGTAGTAATAGTGCACCACTCAGATGTTTAACAACTTTTTTGATATGTAGAAGAAGAAACTTAGAAACCTGCTGAAAATTAAAACATTTTAAATGAAAAGTAGAAGCAAAAATTAAGGTAACTTATCTAAAAAGGCCAAAGTTTGTCACTAAAGTACAGCTTCTGGTTCTATCATGCAGTATTTTAAAAGTCCAAAAGATTATAAAATACATAACATACAGCCATATTTTATTTAGCACTTTATCAAATTATTTTTTGTAGTTTATTTTTAAATATTTTAATGTATTTTAAAGAAAC